TCCAAAAAAAAAATATTTGCACTGTGACGGAGCTCATTAATATTACAAAAGTGCACAAAATAAAAGTGTTTATAACACTGTGTAAAGCAAATAAATATCTGCCACTTTGTTTTTGAAAATATATGTTGTTTATTGTGTGGGTGTAAATGTGCTCTGTCAATTTCTATTATTATGTAAATGATATGCAAATTGTATGCAAATTAGGCCGCCATGGTGGTTTAAATTCCTGGGGAGAACACTGTTTAGCAATGCACATTTCAATTAAAGAACAAAAGATATCATTAGAAAATGAACAATATGTATAGTATCCATGCAATGGGACTTGTTTTAAACAAGAATTCAAAAATATCACTTTTCACCAAAAATGACAAAAATAATCATAAAAATTAAATAATTGAAGATATCACCATGAGATTAACAAATCTGAAAAAGGTCCACATGTAGTACCGATATAGGTAATATAAAAGCAATCGGACTTGCGGTTTTTAACAAGAAGTCGAGAATATCACTTTTTACCAAAAATTACAAAAATATTCACCAAAATTAGAGAATTGAAGATATCATCATGAAATGAACAAATCTGAGAGCGGTCTACCCAAGGTTACATATACACCAAGGATCAAAGCATTCAGGCTCATAGTTTTCAAGAAGAAGTCGAAAAAGTAAAACATTGACACGGCCGACGGAAAATCACTCATAGGATAAGCTCCGCTCGACAAAGTTGACAGCGGAGCTAAAAAGTGAATGAAAGCTGACGTCAGGTGTATGTTTGATTAAAAGACATGTATTTACAGGGAAAAATCCATAGCCCCCCCCCCCAATTTAAATTGCATCCCCTAATTGTGTGTTTGTTTGTTTTTTCAGCAAATGTTAAGAATCTAGCATTGTACGGCCCAGTCCCGAGGGCGTTTGTGGGCTCCTTGAAGCCCAGTGAACCACATTTACAAAATGTTAAATTGACGGATTCTGATGAAAATCCAAGACTGAATATCATTAAACATGGCGGAACAAGCAAAGCTTTACTTTTCGAAGAAAACCGATTTTACTACATTTTTGTAAGTTTTTAATAAAATTTGTTACACATTATTTACCAACTGTGGGAGCCGCCGAAAAAAACTATTTATTATTTGTCAAGGTAATGAATGGAACTGGCCGAAACTTCAATGTTTGAAACAAAGGACAATGTATTCGATAGCCAGGCGTACGAACATGGCGAACAGACGAGGCCATTCGTTTGATACCTGAATCCGCGCCTTCATTCACAGATTACTCACCATTTCCTAACTTTGTCAATAGCTTGCATAACACGTTTAATCTCATCTTTTGCTCTACTCCGAGTCTCCGCTCGAGCTGATCGCGCTGAACTGTACATCATTAACAAATAATTCAGCCACTTCCGCAACCGAAAATAATTTAAAGTAGTTTGTCTTTTGTGACATCGAATAAGTAGAAATTAATTTGCATTTTATAATTCACACAATATATATTTTATTCCTAAAAATAATAAGAAATAAATAGATATTATATTAGCAGTGAATGTACGAGTATTTACGGGTTTACTTAGTGTGTATTATTTATTGCGCTGATCGAAAACGCAACTGCTAATATATAATAGTTTGTTTATCTTTCGCCCCAGACATCAATTACCGGACCGAACCAATTTACTATTTGGGAATACTGCTTTGTTAAACATTGAGACTTTCAAAAATATGATCGCAATTAACTAACATTAAATTACATTAAGACTTTAAAAAATGTTTTATAACCAAAACAAGAAAAGAAGTATTCATTTTATAGAATTTTTTAACGACAGACCAAGGCCCTTTCCAAGAATACCCTACTTTCAAATGGAACATTCTAAGAGCGCGAATTTCGAAGCCTCGCACCCGATCACGGTCCCGTACACTACAGTTTGTTCCTGGTTCGTAAGACGTAAGTGAGTTATATATACAATATTACTGAATTATTCGCTGCTAATTCACTGCAATACCACGGGGAGATCACATCGCCAACGGGGCACAGGTCACGCTGTATGCAGTCGTGATCGCGTCGCTCCAATTGTTAGTTTCAGCGCGGTGGATCAACAAAAACAAATACATGGGCTGTATTAGCGGGTTTTAATCATATGATTTAATTTTAAGGCCCGTGAGCTGCGGTTTAATTGTCTCTGGTTCAATTAATGATTTGTATTTTAGTTTTGGTCGAGCCGATTCACATACCGGAAATATCCTTAACACGATTGAGGAATACGTGAAAGATAAACATGTCACTTTCACCCTATCACTGTACGTCCACGATGCATGACATAATGTCGTGAAAGTTACACCAATGTAATATTGCCCAGTCAGGAGTAGTAGATCTGTCACATACTCGGCCACATACTTTACTATTTCACTCGCCAACTGTGAACATTGACACAGCATCAAACAAGCTAAGAAGTTGTGTCATTGTAAACACCTGCTTCCCAGCTCACAGTGGAATCGTTTTGCTGAGCTGCAATTGCTATGTTAGACCACAGGACTGTGGTTCGACTTCCTGTCATGATGAATTTGGCGGGCTGCAATCAATAGTTGGTTGTTTGGTCAATCAAAGTGGTAAAATGGCACACACTATATTTCAAGAGTTCAATTCATGCATCCATTTGTTGAACAAAGGCATTGTTTTGAACAATACAATAGAATATGACATGTTTCATTCTTCTTAGCAGTGGTTTTGTCAAAAAACTCAAAATAGTATAATCAGTGCCTGGACAAAACATCTCCAGTCAAAATTCCCTCAGACACGTGACAAGTAGGATTTGGATCCCCCAAACTTTGCCAGGAATACAACCGAACTCGGCCAGATTTCAACTCGGCCAGGGAAAAAATGCACAACTCGGCCAGTCGCCAACTCCCTTGACTATTTTGTTGTCGATTTCAACAACGCAAGTTTACAAACACACACACACACAAACGCTACTGGTTCTCCGACATGTTGTTGATTTCAACATTGGCTGAACATTGTCGATTTCAGTGACGCAAATTTTCTTTTCAAAGGAAAAACACAGACATTACATCGAATCACAGACATCACATCGGCGACCGTCTATTTTTTTTTACATTTTACTGTGATATGACAAAAGACACAGCGCTGGCTGTTTCGTCACTGAAATCGACAACCCTTTTTTTATTAACAAAGCACGATAGGCATCACTGAAATCGACACCCTTTGACGCCCGTACATTTTTTATATTTTGTTGTGATATGACTCTGACAGTCTGTAATACAGCGCTCGCTGTTGCATCATTGACATCCTTATGCACATATGCTGGCCGAGTACGGTCACTGGCCGTGATCGGTCACTGGCCGAGTAGAAATCTGGCCGAGTTCGGTGGTCACCCTTTGCCAGGACCAATCACGAACGAGAATAGACAATTCATTTTCAGATTAACACCTCTGCATGAATCTTTTGTTTTCTACTGACTTCCTGTTCCAGCTAGTCTTTGAGAATATCACAGTCCCTCTATCCCTGGTCTGGAAATGACTAGCGTTCTTTTGTCTCGAACCGCGGTGCGGGTAAACAAACCGTTCACACCCGGGCCAAGGAAGTCGGACAGATTACAATACCGTCAAAATATTCAGTAAAATTGGTAAATGTACCATCATGCAAAGCGATACCTCATTGTATGACTTCACTTTGACTTCAAAATTATCACTATGAAATTTGGGTTTTTTGAACCCTGATACGCATCACCACCAGCCTACCAACTCATAAACATCCAGTTCCTGCAATGCAAAGAATAATATCGGGAATTATGTTCATTTTCTCATTTTAATAGGGAAAAAACTTGGCGTGCCAACATGCTGACATCACTAAACAAATCTTTTCAAAATGGCGTCGTTCATGTTAACATAGTCGATCGAAAAACCTGCGATATTTCTGATTCTTGGGGGGTTCATAACAATTCAAGTCAACTATACAACAACTAATGAATTTATTCTATGCAAAAGTATATGACAATGCTCCAATATTTGTATATAAATGATTTTTTTTAGCACAGAATTGAGTACATTGTCATTTCAAAACGTTGCCATTTGTATTTACGATCTAAAAAGCATCCATAAAAGTCACTCAATTTAACATTAATAAAATGCGGTGTGACAAATAACAAATCAGCCCACCAATTTTTAATGATATGTTTCGATCATAAAATGTCAAAATCGAAGACAAATATTGGTTTCGCGCCAAGAAGTATGGTAAATAAAATAGTTTATTTCAATCACCCCAAAATCAAAAATGACAAATATCATGGTAAAGGTATGAAAATTTGTTGCGAAAATGTGTCGCTGTTGGTAAAATAGATGAATTAAAGAACTACTCGCCGGCTAAAATATGACCTTATACAGATATCCTGATTAAAAAATTATGTGAAAAAGCATGAATTCTGGAATAAACAACTAAGTTGTAAAAAAATACATAACAATGACGATGTCAAATCACGTACTGATCACGTGACAATGCTTTGCCCATACCCGCAATGCGCCTTTGCCAGGGAAGGAGGCCAATTCACACCTAATACAATGACCGTTTCCAGACCGGGGATAGAGGGACTGTGAGAATATATATGTGATAGAGTTGAGTTTGTTTTTTTCTTTCGTTTTTTTTTACAAATAAGGCAGACAATTGTGTGAATGCCCCATATTAATCTGGCACACACATGGACAAAGGATAATTCTGTCAGACAGATTTTTATTTTCCAGTATTTAATTTATAATCTATAATACCGGTATTATTGTTACACATATTAATTTTTTTTCAAGATGATGAGTTTTACTAAGCCAAGAAGAAAATCAAACAATAAGTACAGAAGCAGTGATTACAAGTTTTTACTCTCCGCCTTTTCAAGTGTAGATAAGGTGCAATTAGCCAAAGATATACTATGGTTAGGAGGAAAATACTATGAAACCTTGGTAAGATTTTCTGCAATTTTCTGGAATGACAGTATACATTTGGTTCTTTATGTTTATGATGATACTGCCGTCTTCCATCCTACTGGTGTTAATCTAATATACTTTTCTTGGGAATATAAATTTATTTTGCTAGCATATTTTAATACTCTTCGTTTGAAAACTTGTCTGTAGTATGGCAGGGTCCATAGCGTTGGGAAAATCCTTTGAAAGTCTTTGGTGGATTTTTTGAGGTCTGGAAAGTCTTTGAGTTGTCTTTAAATTACAGGAAAAATAAAAAAATCTTTGAAAAGTCTTGAAATTTCTTCATACCCCCTAGTTATTAATTTATTTTAGAAAGGCCCATTTTCTCCAGGGAACTACCATATCCTCAGAACTTTGATGAGCTTTGGTGATGATGTTGGCCTAATATTGATCAAAATGTTTTGGAAAAATGCAAGAAAGTTTGGGAAAAGGTCTTGAAAATAATTTGGCTCTCAGTGCTATGGAGCCTGTAAGGGGACTGTAAATATGCCTGTGTGCTGTATTTTTACTAAAAGTATCCTCATCCATTCAGTGTTCTCCTCGGATACAAGTGTACACGTAGATGTCCAAATATGACAAGCAATGCAATTCACATTACCCTATCTGCCATTTCTCTGGCACACTGCCACTGATATTGCTTAACTTAGCACAATGAGTTTTGATGAAAATTAAAACCTCAAGGACAACTTTCAGATTTTTGTATGAGCTTTTTATGAGCATCACACATAATGGGTTACCGGAGTACATCGTTTTGTTTTGCAATTTGATTCAGATTATTTTTTTCAAAGGTTAACTTATTCTTTTTTTCTTTTCCTAGGAATATAAAAATGACTGTACACACATAGTGTCTGGCAAGCCAATCCGAGGTGAAAAATACTTGTGTGGCTGTGCTGCAGGTAAGCACTGTCAATCAAAAGCAATACCAGTTTTCATTTGTACAATGTTGCGTAGTCCATATCTCAGTACTTTTACGCTTTGCGAATACATGTTGTGATAATATCATATCTGCTCTATTAGATATTAGTGCACCTTAAAATACATGATATATTTATGTAAACACAAAATGCTTTTGGATCTCTATGATCATCAGTTATGGCGAAAACGTCAGTTGTTGAAGTTGCATCCTCATAACATAGTATTTATGAATACATGTATGTGAAATATTAGGAATAATTATGAAACATTAAAATTATAATCGTATTCTTTGCTGCTTCATATTGAGTGCTTGTTCAAATTTCATAAAAACTTACCAGTTTATTGTCAACTGATTTAATTTTGTGCTAAATGTTTTTTTGCAAGCTCAAAAGTCGTGACTTTTGCAAAATTTTATAGCTATAAAAATTTCTCTCGAATCCAATGACACATAGTGACTTTTGCAAAGTTTTGTCTTCAATAAAATATTCAAATTGTGAATTTTCCTCGTAGTGAAAAACTGCTTTGGAGAATTGATGGTACAAAGCCAATTCCAAGCATTTTTATAAGGTGATACATTTATTAAAACTAGTACTACTACATGATCTTAGCAATGACTCTGAATCATTACATTTTTACTGCTCTGTAGGCAAATGGGTTGTAACAAAGGATTACATAACAGCAAGTCGTGAAGCTGGTAATTGGCTGGATGTCACGCCATATGAATGGGGATACACAGTCCCAAGGAATTGTCCATGTTCTGTAGAGTTACTGACTGCACCGAAACGATGGCGTGAAAAAAGAGCAGCGACTGGACATGGGCCGTTCCATAATTGGACAGTTATGCTATTTGTACAAAATGTTAATAACAGACCTGCTGTTTACAAAAGGTGAGTTTTGATCTAATTTGTCATGTTAAACCAAAAGGTGTACAAATTATTTTGAAATGTTTTCTTTTTCTTTACATGTATTTCATCATTTGCTGTTATTATTCATGTCACCTTACAAACTATAAATTTTCACCTACTCTAAAAATTCAAACGCCTAATTATTTGGCGAATTTTTGTAATGTATTGACCTCCAAAATTTTGACCTCACCAAAAATTGCTCACTTATTTTTACTCAAAAAATTTGTTTAAAGACATGACTTTCTATAACTATTCTATTTCTGCAACTGTATATAACCCAACTTTTATATTTGTTGAATTTTCACTCTATAAAAAATTTGACTGGCAGAAAATTTATTGTTTTTTTTTTTTGTATTCAAAAAGAATTATTTAAAAGTGGTCGAAATTTTTTTACCGTGTTTTGGATTGCTGTGTGAGATCATTCATATGGTTTTATTGGGGTCTTCATACGTGACGTATTTGATAGTAAGAATTTGCTAGAATTGCGGGAAATTAATATTTGAGAATCTCCCGAGATTTGTTCTTGTTTCCAATTAATGCCAGCAATTTAGAGTTGAGTCTTTGTTTTTGTTGGAATTCAATTTTAAAAATGTTGGCAAATGTAACGCAAACAATTAATTAAAAAATTCAACATTCAAACATGCTGAATATCAATTAAAATTGACATATATTCAATTTAGTAAACATCGTCACATTTCGCACAAATTCACATACCGTAATTCCATGACTCCCAATACATGTTTAGGAAAGACATAGAGTGCAACTTCAACTCCATATGTTATCAACAATATTCAGGTCAATGGAAATCAATTTGCTAACTAATCTATAATAAATTTAAAATTTTTTTCAGGTTATTAGAAGTAGGTGGAGCGACTGTGCTGCCCCCCAGATTAAGATTGAATGATTTGGACAGACTTGCACAATGCCTTACACATGTGTTTGTTGATTTGTCTTATGAGAACAGTATTCATGCATTTCAGCGTAGAGGAGTTGCTTGCCTTTCCCCTGATTACATTGCAGCTGTTTTATGTCAGGTAAGAAGTTGTGAATAACAGAGTACATGTATATCAGTATATACACCACTTTGATTTCACAAGAAAGAAATTTTCGTGAGTCTGTGATAATCATGCTGTGTCGATTCCTACAATGTTGAGAGTCAGTGACTTTTAAAAAAAACTTTGCATCCAATCGTTAAAATGCCTAGAGGTGAAAATCGAGTGTGATTATTTAAGATCTTTTATTCAGGTTGCTCAGAGGCCTAATGGAAGATGAAGAATAGTCGGTTAGCTGGTGCTCACTGGAGCTCAGTTACATTTACAGTCTCCTTAGGGTGTGATACATGTAGAGAAAAAGAAAGTTAGGAAATGTGTTCTAGCCGACTCTGAGATGTAAGCAGAGATGCATTACAGATGTATGAAAATTTAAATCAGTCTCTTTGTGTCATTCCCTTCTAGCATAGCACTCCAGATCCTGCTGCATTCTGTGTAACAACGTACGTACCTCCACCAACTCAGGTCAACTGTACGGCATCACATACTTCGTCATCGTCATCAACATGCTCTAGTAGCCAGAGGAGTACTAGTAGTAGCATCAATACCAGTACTTCCCGTTCTAGTAGTCAGACCACGTCCAGAGGTAGTCAGATATCAAGCTCAATCACAAGCAGCATATCTACTCCTACAGGTAACTGTCATTAGAGGGGTGCAAGTCAGGTCATAGTGACATGTAGTAAGAATCCTATTGAAATCACTGGATCTGCAGAAGTGAATTTATTCTGAATGCCCAGATATGTGCTGTCACAGAGGTGTATGTGATTCAGGTTTTCAGTGAAGACCGATAGTTATACTTTATTTATTTTCTTGGGTAACCATGTATGTCATTGAGCCACTTCTGTCAGTTGGCAAAGTTAATGTCTATATTAGGCTCAAATTTGGTTACTATGACAACCACTAGTAATATATTTTGGGTGAATTTTGACCTTTGATCTCTTTCACAAAGAATTAATATGTATATGTATCCTTGTTTCATATACATCTGTTTTTGCACGCTTCTGTTCCACCTCATATACTAGTTACGCTGGTAACCATGTTTTTATTGTCAATTCTATTTATAGGTAAAGATTTTCTAGAAGTTCCCGCTAAACTACTTAGTGAAGCTGTTCGTAAAGCTATCAGGGAAGAGAAAGAAAAAGAGGCCTTCACTCCTAAGCAGGTCAAGTACAGCGATGGCATGACGAGAGACGTTTTAGAAATAAAAGATAATATAAAAGATATTATATTGCGAGTTAAAAAGCGAAAAGTAAGTGAAACATTTACATTAACCGCATGAAAACCATGTGTCCCTGTTGACTGTTCTTGAAACACATCATAACTTTTCTAAATGCGAAGCTGGCGATGTATGTTAGGACTTTGGTGCTTTGTGGAATTAAATACAAAACACTCTTTATCTTTGAAGGTGGGTTAAATATGGTGTCTGCTGGATAATTCATGTACTGCTATAATCAGGAATAAATCTACAACAAGTTCGTTATGCAAACCATAGCTGCATCTATTTATCAGTTAATTACACAAACTTTTAACAACAACAACATTAAATGAATAGTCATTTTATACGCACACTAAAGTTGTTTCAATAAATCTTGCCAAATCGTTAAATGTATGATTTTGTTTATTTTTAAATTGACAGTCTGAACAGAGTGGGCCTTCATTTGTACCATATTGTTTTGAGATGTTACCACTGTCCCCAAAGATTGGCAAGACCTGTCCAGTACCATTTACATTACCAATGGTAAACACCATAGATGCACTGATAGAAGAGGGCATGTGGTTACCAGCTGTGGGTTGCATGCAGTCTTATATCTCGTCGACGTCATATCCTCCGCCTCAGCTACTACACCAAGTCATGAAAGAAATGATTCAGGTATGGTGTTAGCAGTGAATCTGTGTCTGATCTTGTAATGTTTTTATAACAAGAAATGGATTGGTTTGTAAACTATTGTGCATGTAATTTTGTTACAAGGATGCCTAACATGCTACCATACTCGTCTGACTTAGCGCCCCAAATTATGTGTTTTCGGGTGGGTGCTTAGCTGAGCACCCCTTGAAAAAGTAGGCAAATGACAATTTTAGTTCACATGTCCCAGATCGATCTTTGGTGAAAACAAAATTTCGAAAATTAGTAGCGTTGTCATTGATTTCTACAACACTTTTACAATGAAGAAACAGAAATGGTTACAAAAAATATTCACATTTTATTACAATATTAATTATGTACATGTACCAGCAGAATTTACAAAGTTACACAGTCACAATAATCTTCATCATTATCTTCATTGTTGAATGTGTTCGATCATAATCAAACTCTCGATACAAATCAATTTCTGCCATGGTTTGATCTGCCACAACGTCCTTTGACCTGATAGGTCAAGTCTGTTATAATGGTATGTTGTATCGATGCAATTCTCTGGGAATTCCAAATTGCAGATGTGAATTATCAATGTTGAAATACGATCTGTGATTAGATTGCAAATGGCGCAGTTTTAAGACATGTAGATAATTACCTAGTATCCAGGTTTCACACATTTCACACAATTAATTTTATTCTTTACACAAACTACAGACTGATAATATAGCTATATCACAAGGTGTTTATCACTTGTTGAAGCAGACACTATGTTTACATTGCCCAGCAGTGTCGCCAGCACTGCGTTGTATGTATCTACAGTCCCTGTCTACTACGGCATATAACGAAAGGATGTTAAATATGGTGGTGGTCGGTGGGGAATGGGACTTCGTCAGTGCTATCATAAGGTACGTTTATAGCCATGGGTGTGTGCATGATTCAGATCTATCTCAAGGGTGCTTTGATCATATTCATTGTATGATTTATTATTAAGCATGTTAGTTCTATGTGATCAGATAAACAGTAAAACTCTTAAAAGGTCTCGCTTAATGAGAAAAGTTATTCATAATGTGTTTTTAAAAGTCTGTCTGGTGGTTTCATAACACAACAGGATTAATATATTAATTGACAAATATGATATACTTCTGTATGTGGTAACTAACCAATGGCAAAAGTTCAAATTATTTTCTCTCACTGAAACTGATAATAATGTACATTGACAGAAGTTTAGGTTTTTAAATTATAAATATTTTTGTGATTTTTTAGTCAATACATTCATTTCAATCATTATTCAAAAGCAATTAAAAATGATGTAATCTTTTCATCGCTAGAACTTTCCAATTATTTTCACCTTATGATGCTAACATGTTCGTAAGTTATGTATGAGAAGGACCTTGCTGGACAGCATGGTGGCTAATCAGGTAGACTGGGCAGTCCCATTATTTTGTCTAACTGGAATACTGAACACTAAAAATGGATAAGTAATTCTATGTAAGATAATGTGCCACCAACTACAATTAGTACCAATATAAGTAAGATACCGGTAGTATATCGTGTTACCCGCTGATAATGTGTCATAGAATGCCAAGCAGCCCCAGAACATGTATGCTGTAATCAACTCATCTTTGTTATAGAAATGCCATTGGAATGAAGACAGAAAAAGATGATACCAAAGATTTCGATGATGCCAGTGACGGTGAAAATAAGGATTCAAGCAAGAATGACATTATTTACAACAAAACTAACACCAGGTTGTTATTGAGATACCTAGTGGCTTTATTTGAACAAGATTTCCTTGGAATTCTCGTAAGGTGAGATTGCTTTCTACTTGAGGAGAAAGTGTGTTATTACAATAACTAGCTTGTTTGCTTTGTTTTCAGTTACTTGTACACGTTTTTTAGCCACATGGAATTGTCTTCTTGTCTGTCTCTAACTGATGACTGTACTAAACATTGATTTTGCAGACAAAGGCCACTGAGAGGACCAATTTCTCCGCTGAAGTGCTCCTCAACTAGGCAGTGTATACTCTCCTGTTTATTATGGCCTAGTGGTTACCCAACTGCCATCAGTACGGCCGTCATCACGCTGCTACACTATCTGGTGAAAGCTGTGAAGCTTGCTACTGATGACCAAAACATGGTGAGCTGATTGAATACTTTATTTCTTACTGTGTGTTATGTATGTGTTCTTCATCTGATATGTGAGATTGCAAGTCTAATGTCAGTGTAAAGCATTAAGGTAAATGCATTTGCACGCAGTGTACACAAAACATACCTTATTTGGATATTCAATCTCCTTATATGGTAAATTGCTGCTTTTCTTTATGTAATATTACTCTGATTTATCATTTTATTTGCAGACACAGATATTGAATATGATTCAGAGAATGGTTGCCATTGCAGCTGAGTGTTACCAACAAGTCAACGTAAAACTTGGTTTCAAGAAGATGTCTAGTATTGAAAATGAAAAGGATTTCGCCAATGAAGTGATATCAGCTTTCACTGAAGGTATGAGGATCAAATTTGTTGTTCAATAGATTATTTCCTTGTCCTGATCTAGTTTGGTTGTGTGTTTTGCTATTGTTAACTCTCTGTCTGGCCTAGTGAGTTCTTTTCTTGTTGGGTTTAAGAGGTGTCCGGCAGTCATCCATAAACTACTCTTATATTTAACTATTTGACTAAGGTATGTAGTTTTACATTTACAACTAATGCAATCTACTAACTGCCATTACGTTTTACTCACAGGTGGTCTACTAGATTGCAGTGCCAGCATCAGTTTGTTGTTAGAGACAAGCCAACCATCATGGCTAAGGATGCGACTAGCAGAGTGTCTGTTGAATTCCTATGACAGTAGTTTGGTAAATGTAGATAATAAACCACTACTCAATAAACAACTGTCACTTAGAAGAATTGTAAGTCTAACTATCTTTGCAGATTTTAAAATTTATATCACAACTCACTAAATAGGAATGAAAATGACAAATTTTATCTGACCTTTGTGATTTGAAAATGTTGTACCTGGGACGTACTACACCTTTGATTATAAAGGATCGTCAACTCGATTTGATTATCTATTTTTTTCTCTTATTATTATATGTACTGTATTTATGCCAGTAAAAAATGCATCTCCAATAAAAGGGTCACATAACCAAAAAGTACATAGTTTGATCATTAAAATCTTGCACCTTTTAACGATAGACATACCCTGTCAATTCCCATAAGTGTCCATACTACTAGCTGTATGAGTAAATAACACTTTCCGATTCTCTCAAAGATTATTATGTGTTAGCAATTAATGTTGATGAATTTTCTTGCATTCCAGGTTTCCTGTTATTTCTTCTTATTACCCAAGTTGTGTTGGACAGTATCTGATAGCTGTACTCAGGATAACAGTGAAGACGACGTAGAAAATCAAAAACCCAAATTGAAGAAACCAAAGCCAGCTAAAACTGAGCCATTGAAGACATTGGCGTATGTATGAATATTATGTGTGATTGTTACCTCTCAGTAGTGTGGTAATGCTATTGTCAATGCGAACATTTCAACTTCTATTGCTGCATTGTTGTCAGCTGGCAAAAAATGAAAGGTATATCATGAGCATGTATTCCCTCACTCTATACACAAAAGTTTTTTTGATGTACTAAAAATGCTAAAGAAGCACAATTTTTTTAAATAATGAACATTAAAAATCTATGTTCGCCACTGAGACGAAATAGCCCTAGACAATTTAAGAACACTCTTAAGCTCATGGATCTTACAACTAGAAACAAAATAGTCACCGAGTCTTTTACAATTGAAAAGAAGATTGCACTCATCATGACTTCAAGAGGAAGTTCTAGAATTTCCGTCATGATTCCTAGAACTCCCTGTGAATGTTCTAGCCTTTGTAATTAGTCCCCGTTCGGACGAAGTTCGAAAACGGGGACTTATAATTCGGTCTCCGTCCGGAGTCATATCTCAGAATCCCTTGGACCGATTCCGTTCATTCTTTGCATGTGCCTAGTACTTTATGTGGAACATATGCACATGCAGTGGTTTAGCGATTTGATTCAAAATGGCCGACTGGCAGCCATCTTGATTTTTGAAAATGTTGTATTTTGGACATGCTTTGTCAGTTTTCATTCAAATTTAGTACATAGATCATACATGTTAGGATACATGTCCCCGGCCATTCGTGAGTTCCTGAGTCTGTCCGTCCGTGTGTCCGTCTGTCCGAGCGTCAGTCTATCCAACGTCATATTTCAGAATCCTGTGGATCGATTCTGTTCATTCTTTGCATGTGCCTAGTACCTTATGTGGGACATATGCACATGCAGTGGTTTAGCGATTCGATTCAAAATGGCTGACTGGCAGCCATCTTGTTTTTTGAAAATGTTGTATTTTGGACATGCTTTGTCA